AATAATGACTATGATTGTGAGCTAGGATTCCGACGAAAGACCACATTTGTAGTCTATGGTTGTAGTAGAAAGCGAATGTAATTCACAAACGATGGAAACGGAACAGCCTTTGGAATTGTGTATGACAAAAAAGATATATTATCATTGTAAAATTACACTTTTAGCCCTCAAATTAACACCAACATGATAGAAGATCAAAAAAAGGATTATTTGTGGAAAGATACCCATAAAAGAAGGATCACTGGGGTAATATTTTATAATAGAGGACTAAATAGGGAAACCCCCATGTTATAAAGGACCAATTATGGAATTTACTCTTTATATTTCATAAAAATAAGAGTCTCACCTACTTATTTTTAAACATGTTTTTTCATCAATTCATTTTGACCCGATTATTTATAAAATTATTCCTCATCTTTTACGAGTATCTCAAAAGATTTATCTATCATTCAATTCATTTTACTTTCACAAAAAATATTTAAGTTATAAGTAGTTTATAAGTTAAAATTTGTTTATCAACAATAAGTTAATAAGCAATAGCATAGAAATAGCATAGAAAAACACTCTGTAATTACAATTTCTTATTGATATACAATAATTAATGATTTAAATTTCTCTCATACTTTGAAAAAATATCATACTTTAGAAATTGTTTTTTAAGTGTTTAATTGATATACATTGGCGGGACTATATTGGCTTGATTGGGGCACCTGCCCCGGTAAACTTTTTCTTTTTAAAATATAGTCTAAAAATAAAAAAAAATCTTATAAACATAAAAGTATGCCCCCAGTCAAGTAAAAAATTATTCCAAAAGAGTAAAATTATTTAAATAGAATATAAAAGTAAAGTTTTTTTAATACCCGTGCTCGCACCCGCGTCTGCGGTGTGGCGTGGCTAGCTTTTTACAAGACCGAATCAAACACGCGTGTACACTTCGTTAATAACGAAGTGACGTGAGTTAAGCATGCATGCACATGGAGGCGAAGGGGTTGGCCTGTGATGCCTCGTAAACTCCGCCCGGTCCAAATGAAGAGCCAATTCCTCTCCTATAAAAGGAGGGCTCGGCTGCAGGGATGAAACACTCGAAAAAAAACATCTCTGAAATACGAATAGCTTTCCGACTATCTCCCCGTTTCTGATCATATTCTCCGGCGATAACTTCCCGTCGTTCTCGTTCGCCGGTGCATCATTCTACCGCTCTAGACTTTGCACGCTGCGGTTTTATCCTGGGAGGAGATTGCCCACGTTTGCCAGTGCGGGAGGCGGGCAATACTACCTTAAGGAAAGCTCCGGCGACTCCGCTTTCCTTACCTATATTTCCAGAAACTGCTCCGGCGACCCACTGCTTTCCGTCAGACACTCCTACCGCCGTTGAGGTTCGTGTTCTTCCTCTGTCCGTTCGTGTTTCTGCTATGTCCGTTCATGCTCTTCCCACTGTCCGTTCCGCTCGAGCTTCTTGAAGATTCAATTGTTTTTATTTTATTTTTAATTGTAAAATCTGAACGGTTTATAAGTTCGGATTATTATTATTATTATTCCCCGTTGTAATAGTTAACACAACCAACCCTATTCTGAACTACGTATTACTTAATCTCATTCATTGTAGTATTAAATTAATTAGCTTAGAATGTGTTATATTTCTAAGTACAATCACAATAATAAAACTATTTTTTATTGTTCAATTCTAGCAAGTAGTAATTATATAGTATTGCCTTAAGTGGGAAACACAGGAATGTAGTTACGTTGTAGTATCACATTCATAAATTGCCTTAAACTAGACTCGAACCCGTGCGTTGCACGGTCTGAGTTAAAGTTAAATAAATAACTAATAAGGGAAACATTGATAGAAGTAAAAGATAAAATTTACTTTAAACAAAGATACGTAATATATATTAAAGAGGAGAAGTTTTACAACAACGCACAATGTGAAAAAATAACATAATAAGTTTTAGAAAACTTCTTATAGACTACATTTGCAGTTTTATTAGATGTCACAGGATCTTCACCACAAATCCAAATCTTTAATCCATTGTGATTAGTGACTCGTGATAATGCCACATAAAGCTGGTCATGACTGAATACAGATTTCTTTAGTAAAAGCCTAACATGCGTCAATGATTGTCCTTGACTTTTATTAATTGTCATAGCATAAGAAATCATAATCGGGAACTGTTTCCTTTGAAATTTAAAAGGAATTCTTGCATCTGATGGTGTAAGAACAATCACGGGATAACAATTTCTTAACCAATGTTTTTCCCTGTCAACAATCTCGGGATAAAAATTTGTTTATATAATTCATCCATGTTTTTTCGAGCCAGTGAATACTTAACCAATAAATATACTCACTCCGTCATTGAGTATTCGTNAATTAATATGTAATTTATATTTTATTTAATTATATGTCAAAAATTGAAGATAATTGACCAAAAAAGTCAAATCAGGATAAAAACTTAGGGAAGGAGATGCAAATATCTAATAGGCAATAGCTCAAAAAAATTTCGTACCTGTGCGTTGCACCGTAAAAAAATTCGTTATTATATTTGTCACATCTTAAAATAAATTTATTAGATTTATAATATCAAATATTATCAAAATATTACTTTATCTAATAAAAATACAATATATATTATATTTAATAATAGATCAAAAGTTAAAAATACATAACAAAAAAAGTCAAACCTAAACAAAAACTTAGGAACAGAGATAGAAATATATACTACCTCCGTTCCAGAATATTTGTCCAGTTTTGACTTTTTTCCGTCAACTATTTTCAACCTTTGACCTTGAATTAAATCAAATATATATTGTTTTTTAATTAGATAAAATAATATTCTGAAAATATTTGATATAATAAATCAAATAAAACTATTTTTGTATCAATATCTAATATTGTTTTTATTTAATTTAAGGTCAAAGTTTATCAATTTTGACCGAAAAAAGTCAAAAGTAGACAAATACTCAGGGACGGAGGGATTAATAAGCAATGGCTAAACTTTTTTCGGCCCACATTTTATTTCCGGCCCACACAATATTTTCAGCCCAGACTCAATTCATATAAAACCTACTTATCAAACTTTATTAAACCTACTAAATTCTTCCGCCGCATCCACCCCCTCTTTTTCGACATACTTGCTCTCTCTCTCTTTCTCCTATATTGTTGTTTCTTGGTTATTGAACATATACGGAGTACATTTGTTGGTTTCCCCAATTCTGTTCGTCGATGCATCAATGGCTTTATTAGGTATTGATATTTTTAGTCAATATTTTTTGGATCGTTTTGCGTTTTGTTTTGATTTTATAGTTTTTTTCATTAAGATCTGTTGTAATGAAAAAAATCTTTAGATTCTTGATTTTCATTACCCGATTTCTTTAGATTCTGGATTTTTTTCATTAGCCGATTTCCATGTGCGCCGATTATTTTCACTTTTTTTTCTTCACATCGTTTTTTCGGATGATCTTGGGCTCCGTTTTGATTTAATGTATTTTTCAGTAAGATGTGTTACAATGCATATTTATATCATCCGATTTATAAATAGATTTCGAAAATTATATATATATATATATATATATATATATATAATATAGATATATCTCTGTGTGTGTATATTATAGACATGTATATAATTTTCAAAATTATATACTTATATATATCAATATATTTACATACACACACAATATATATATATATATATATATATATATATATATATACACGTATATATACATAAATATATTAATATTTGAAAAATATAAGCCTATAAAATTATACTTAGCAAGATGTTTTTAATTATAATACAAAAATACATATATTTGTTATAAATTTCTTTATTTATATAAGAAGTCTTATAATATACTGTGTACATTTTCGAAATTTCTTATACATTATCATCCCCTTTGCAAATAGGACACAATCTGTTAAGCTTTATAATATACATATTGTAAATTAATACATATAGTGTGTTCTTATTACTGTTAATATGTGTATACCATGTGTGTGTGTGTTTATATATAGATATGTATATGTCTATATATATACATGTATATGCATATATGTATATATGTATGTGATATATATGTATGATAATTATTCCCAGCTCTTTGCCTTTGTTCAAAGTTTTCATGAAATTCAATTTTGTGTGTGTGCCTCATTATAGGGCTGTGATGAGATTGAAAGGATTGTTAAAAGTAGTACTGTGATGATATGGCCTCAAACATATCAATTTTGGGTGTGTGTGTGTATGAATATAGGGTTCTGATGATCTGGAAGGACTGAAATAAGTTACTATGATTTTTAGGCTTTTAATGTTTGAGGCATCAAAGAAAATGAACGTATCTTGGCGTGGCGTCACGGAATTAATCCCCGTTGTTGCCGCCATGGCGATTTCGTTTCTTATTTTGCCTCAAACTTAACACCAGATTTAAAAAATCTGAGCCTCTATTGTATATTAATATATTTTTGTCGGTGCGTGTATGTGTCTAGATATATAAAATACATATTTAACTGCATATTTGCCTCTCTAGATTTCGTGGACACACACACATATGTTAGAAGCAATTAATAAATAAATAACAATTAAGCGTAAAAAAATTGTGAATATCATACATGTTCATCGTGAGAAATGATCACCATTGAATCTCCGTCTTTGGTCCAAACGGGAACAAAATAGACACGCATGGCCCGTAACTTAAACATCTAATTGGTTCGAGTGTTGTCAAGCTCGGCAACGGGAGACCACATGCTTAAAGAAGAAATTTGAGACATTTGATGATTTTTTAGGCTACTTGAGAAGTTTATTTTTTGGGAATGAAGTTCACATCACTATGCTCGAGTATATATATTACATTTTTCATGATCTCTTTAACCATTCATTAAATGGCTAGATTTTAAAAATCTTTACAATTGATTGATTTGACTTAAAGTTACTTTTTCCAAATTTACTTTATTGAGTCACACAATTTTTTTTCCCTAATACAACTTTATAGAACCACTAAAATTGAATAGACATAAAGCAAATTTATGGAGCCACGCACTACAGGTAGTAGCTGTCAACCGCAGCCCGATAAAGTAGCTGTCAACCGCAGCCCGATAAAGTAGCTGTCAACTGCAGGCCCTCTAAATAGGAAGAAACTTGGCCCATGAACAGTAGGCCCAAATCCGGCCCAAAAGGAGGTGTAGAAAATGGCGGGAACACTGTTCACAAATCCCTCTTACCATTGTATATAGTAAGATTAACATAACGTGGAGACATATATACATGCGTACCCGGTACACGTACTAAAACATTGTAGCACATATTAAAGTCTGTATCCACACAAAAAAAAAAAGAAACATTGTACCACGCTGCATAAATAAATTAAATTATGTCACATTTCTCTTTTTGGGTGGGTCATCTGTCTTATATATCTGATAATTAATACTAGGGAAATGTATCTAAACAGTTTAAAATATAGTGATTTTCTCAATACAACACTATATGTTTTTATTCTTCAATATAATATCAGTATTCAATGTGCATTGGTCATTGCTTAAGTAATTATCCACCGTCACTGAACATTGTTCAAAATAAACGGTCATCATCACAGGATATTATTCCTGCCATTAGACATTATTCAAGTACTATTTAAAAAATAAAAAAGTTAAAGTAAAAATGTCCGATATGAAGAGGCAAAAGTTGATGTGTAAATTATAAGTAAAAATATATGTTGTGATATGTTGGTTTGGAATTAGTAGGAGCAAAAGTTATGTTGGAGGCTTGGAGCTCGATGAAGATGTCATGGATTAATGAAGGGGTTGATCGATTGATGCACGTGCTTTGAGTTCGGTTACCGGTGGCAAAAACGACAATAATTATTTAGAGTTTCAGGAGGTTAATTATTTCACAGCTCACATGTGATATATGTGTTCAGATAATCATACTTACACTAGATGAACGTGTGATTCACGCTCCTAAATATGATGTAGAGGGGCCATTAATGTAACAATTTTAAATTTTCAGGGCAAGGCAAGGGGTGTCCAAGAAATAATAAGAGATAATTTTTAAACAGGGAGAGTAGTTTGAGGGAAAAGTTTAATTACTCCCTCCGTCCTAAAATTAATTTCCCATTTTGACTTTTGCAGTCAAAGTTTTTAAACTTTGACTGCATATTACGGAAAAAATATATTGATTTTTCATATAAATTTAGTATCAATAGATTCATTTTGAAACATAATTTTGAAATATATTATTTTGATAATATATATAATATTCATATAAAAATGGAGATATTAATGGTCAAAGTGCCGCATTGGAGACGGTGATAAGTCAAATGAGAAATTAATTTTAGGACGGAGGGAGTAATGTGGCCCAAATGTGAGAAGATATGATATTATTAATATTGTCGGTGGGCGTCGCTCAATTGGCAAGGATACGGGTGTCCAGGGGATAATATTCAAGTTCGAATTCTGGCAAATGTACTTGTAGGCAACTATATGCATGCTAATTAACATAAGACTTATGCAAGTGTTAGGTGCAGATTTCACCCTTTCTCATCATGATTTAAGTCTATCTTAGTTCTTTTCAAGTGAGTCTTTGGCCAATTCTAATGTTCCTTTTTTATTACTCCGTATTATAATAGGAGTAATATTAGTGTACGGGTACATAATTAATAATAATAATAATACGTACGTGAGATGGCAATATAGACCGGGTGTCCCGACCTGTTACGTACATCGATCACTTGCCTTTATCCTCATCTTCTTTCATATACATCTACTAGTACTATATAATATATATGCATTATGTTCTTTTTCCTTTATTTGTCCTCATAGCTAGTAAGTATAAAGCTTAATTATTTGCCCCTATGGGATTTAGTCAGAGATAAACGACAATTAATGCCGTCTCTTTAATTGCAAGTGTTTATGATTGAAAGAAAAAAAAGATATATACTCACTCCCTCCGGCCGAGACAGAAAAAGAGGCCTTACAAGTCTTATTTCTAATGTCTTAACAAATTAAAGTGTATAATCTAATTGTATTTAAATGACAATTAATATAATAGTATAATATTATGTAGGTAACAAAATAAATAAATGACATGCAAAATTATAATAAAAGGTACCTTTCCAAACCAATGTCTCGAAAATTAAACCAGATGTCAACTCGAAGGAACTAATAGGTCAAGAGTTAACCGGTCAATCTGAGATTAATGGCTCGGTTAACTATAATTAAAAGAGTAGTATTTTATATTATATACTCCCTCCGTTCGGGAATGTTCTTCTCCCGTTGACTTGACACGCTTATTAAGTAGTAGTAAAAAATACAAAATTTTCATAAACGCACATACTATAAATTTTTAAATCTCTTTTTCTTATTAAAAAAGAAATAAAAAAGTAGATTAGTGATAAAATAGAAGGGTATCATTAAAATTTTTTCTTAAAAAGTATACTAAAAAAGAAAATAGAAAGAATATTTTCAGACAGACCAAAAAAGAAAGAGGGAAGAATTTTTTCAGATAGAGGGAGTAATTAGATTTTATATTTGTGTTTTTTCACTCTTCATATGTTGACAATAATTTTAACATCATTTTTCATATGCCGTCCACAATTTTATTTTGCTATTTGTATTATTTTATATTATTATTAAAGATAGGTGACGAGTATCTAATAAAATTAAAAGAACACTCATCCGAGGTTTTCTGTTCATTTCTCACATAATTAATTAATACGAATAGAAGTAGATTAATACTCGGCATTTAACTAGCAATGATCGATTTGATCAAGATGCAAGTATATAGGGTTGTGTAAATAACGTATGATGAAATGATAATTAAGCCCTTGGATTAATCCTGCATGAACTAATTAAGCTTAATTAGTGGCCCCGTACGTATGGTACTAATTAATTACAGCTTAAACAAGCCGACGAGACCATAATCATTTCCCTAACCCGACCCAAACAAGCCACACTGGATCGGGGCATCAGCAGTCTTCTTCCTCGGAGCTTTCCGGAGTCGGGTACTCGTTCAAGTCGGGCTTGAACCGGGCAACCCGGTTTTTACTCGGATCCGGGTCGTGCCCGGGGGCGGAGGAGACAACGGCCGTCTGCAGGGCGGCATCCACGCGCGCTCCAACCTCGGTGGCTCTCTTCCGAATATCGGCCGCGGAGAGGAGACGGCCGTCCCCGTCGAGGCAGCACTCGGCGGGGAAATTGAGGCGGGCGGAAGGGCCGCGCAGGTGGAAGACGGCGGTGTCGTAGGCGCGTGCGGCGGCCACGGGGGAGGAGTAGGAGCCGAGCCAAATCCTGGACCGCTTGTTGGGCTCGCGAATCTCGGCGACCCATTTCCCCCATTTCCTCATGCGGATTCCTCTGTATAGCTTCTCGTCGTGCTTCCTCTTCGATCCCGCCGACGGAGCTTTCATCATCATCGGAAAACTAACTAATTAAAGTACGAAGCCCAATCCGGAGTACAGAGAAGGGTAAAATGGTCTTCAACTCGCATAAATAAAAAAAGAAAAGGGGATGAGAGAGAGGGGGGAGGGAGTAGGAAGAAGAAAGAAAAGGGGAATGTATTTATATGAGGTGACGTACGTGTGTGATAAAACTACGCTTTGAGATTATCTTTGCGTATTATCCGATTTGACTTCAAATGTTGATACGCTTCGCCAAGAAGATTTTTATACTCAATTTTGATTACAAATTAAGAAGTACTCCCTTCGTCCTATAATGATCTTCCCGGTTCGCAAAACGAAGAAAAATCCCAAGTTTTTTCAATTTATTTTATTTAAATATTAGTATAGAAATAAAAAATAAAACATACATATTTAAAAACTACACCAAAAGTTCAACAAAACAAGTGGTGACAAGAATATTTTATTTTATCATATAGGCCATGAAAAAACACAAATAAATATAAATTCCCGTGAAGTTGGAATAGTGCTCTGGGAAGATCATTATAAGACGGAGGGAGTACTACGTATGATACAAAATTTTATAATTTTTAAATTATTTTATTTATAAATTGGTATGTATTAACAAATATTATGTATTAAAATTATGTTAAAAATTTTACAAAATAAGAGGTAAGAAAAATATTTTATTTTATCAACAAGTAAAATATATCGAGAGGAGAAAAATTATAAACAAAGTTGGGACGAAGGGAGTATATATAATGTAAAGTTGTCTAATTTCTATAAGATCCATCGGACACTAGCTCATCTGAAATTTTAAAGAATAAGGGAAATGCTTGGTTCCCAAACACAATTGTCACAAACTTATTTGTGAACTCCAATAAAAAAATTAAATGGTCTAAAATAATTTTAAAATGAGAATTTAAATCATAAATAATAAGTTTGTGGAGTTTGTGATCATGAGTTTGTGGGTATACTTAACATTTGGAGTTAGCATGAGTTTAATTAAGCTTTGTATAGTGTCAACTAAGAATTATTAAGTGTGTATGTCTCTACAAGCTTGGGGTGATAGTTACCCCCATAATATTTGGGTTACCCTAGCAAGAACATAAATTGAAGTCTGATTTCTTGCTAACCAACTCATATACTTCACTGAATACTTAGTCAAGCTTTAACCATGTTCTTTTTTATTCATTTTTTCTACCCATTTGAAAAAGTAATATAGGTTTGGCATCTTTTATTTTATAGATTTTTAAGTAGTTTTTAAATATATAAATTTTATTTTTTAATTAAACAATACACTGTATTATGACATGACTTTAATATTAATATATTCTTATTGAAACGTAATTTTCAAATATCAAATATGTCAAATATAAATACTAATGGTTAAAATGTAACACTGAAAACCGGGAAAAGTCAAATGAAGAGAACATTGTACTATATATAGAGGGGTATGAGTGAATTAAAATTCTATTTTTGGTAATTAGAGAGGGCATGCATGTTTAGTAAGATTGTCAAATCATGGGCATAACACTGCCCAAATGTGTGAAAAACAATAAGAAGTGCTATATATATATAATATCGGGTGTCTTAGAGTGCTACATAGGGTGGGTGATTTCTATAAAAATTACATAAAAAATTTTACAAAACAAAAGTAATAAGAATATTTTATTTTATTAAATGATCAATGAAACACACAATTAACATGCAGATAAAAGTTATCGAGAAGAGAGAAAAAATATTATTGTCTAATGTCTATAAGATCCATCGGACACTCATCTGAAATTCTAAAGAATAAAACAAGCTTGGGTATACTTAACATTTTGGAGTTAGCATGAGTTTAAGCATAGTACAGTGTCAACTAAGTGTGTATGTCTCTACAAGCTTGGGGTGATAGTTGCCCCCATAATATTTGGGTTACCCTAGCAAGAACATAAATTTAAGTCTGATTTCTTGCTAACCAACTCATAATATACTGCACTGGATACAGAATCAAGCTTTAAACATGTTTTTTTTATTCATTGCTTCTACCCATTTGAAAAAATAATATAGGCTTGACACCTTTTATTTTATAGATCTTTAAGTATTTTTTAAATATATAAATTTTATTTTTTAATTTAACAATACCAATTTTGAAATAAATTGATTTTTCATAATCAAAGTTTGTAAAATTTGACTTCGGTACGTAAAAAAAATACATTGTATTATGACATAAATTTGATATCAGTATATTTCTATTTAAACGTAATTATCAAATATCAAATGTGTAAATAGACTATTAGAGAGGGCATGCATGTTTAGCAAGATTGTCAACCGAATGTTGGGAAAAAACGGGAGGCGGTGGAGGAGGGGCGCCACGTTGATGGATAATTCCTTAAATGAGCGAGGCGCCGTTACTGTTCCGTATATATGTTAGTTACCCCAAATAGGGCACCGACACAATCCATGGATTCCAAATTTCAACGCCAATGGATGGATGGATGGATCACCGCTATTACACATTTAATAACTACTACTATTAATAGGATCCGATGACACCAGAACCTAGCACGCACCGATTAATTTTGGTTTGGTTGAAATAAATTCTAATCTCATCTAAATATAGTTATATTTAAAGTTATTTCTGATCTGATCTGCTTCCAATAAGAATAAGTAATAAAAAATAAGTTGGAAAGAACATGGTCATACTCCTTTCGTCCATTATCTTCTCGTTCTAATTTTTTGTATCTTTTTAGATAGATGAAGTGTGTAAAATGTAATAAATAAAGTAAATAGAGATTATTGTGATATTTTAAATGTTAAAATTGATAATGAGAAAACTTTGGGAGACAAATAAAAAGGACAAGTTAGAAGATCTATGAGAGACGGAGGGGGTAAATATATGATGCGTCTGTCATTTAATGAAAAAGTTAAAGTTGATGAATATAATGCGCTAGGACGAAGGTAATATGGTGTTTATAGATTTGTCTCTTTTTTTATTTTAATAAATAAGCTTCACAATGAAAGGAGAACCACTTTTAATATCTTGGATGAGAATGTAGCCATTGGCAAAGGTAAGGAATGTCAATGGTGTAAGACTCGAGTTCAATTCCTGTCAACTGCACTGGGAGACAATTATGCTAAACATAGAGCCTCTGTAAGCACCAAGTGCAAGTTTCACTCTTTACCACCAATTTACGATCAAAGTCCAATTTACCTTCTCTCAATAACTGTCTGACCGGGTCTGAGAGGACCTCAAAGATGGGACTCATCTCTTTTTTGTGTGGATGAGAATGTAGTTTAGTTGACCTAAGAAGAGGATAGAAGGCGGTAGCTATAGTATAGATGATGATAAGAAGAAATTGGGGGGCCGGGCCTATCACTCTCACTTGCACATATGGACAGTCGAGAAAGACATTTCGTCCACGCAAATATAATGGCCGATCTATTTAATTGATGTTTTAAACCGCATATCTTTGTCATAATCCAATCCAATCACTCATTATTCTAAACCTTTAATTTCAAGTTTGGAGGATTCCCAATTCAAGTTTGACACCAAATTTGAATTCATGGTCCACATATATAAACAGAAAGGCAAAACATTTGTTTCACTTTTTTTTTGTGTCTATACATAGTATAATACAAAGAGTCCAACAAATGGAGAAAAAGGTGGTGGCCTGGTGGGCATAATTTTTAAGCTAGGAATACATGTCACTGCCACTAATGTGAAGATCAATGAGACACAGAGCGGAGATCATCTTTGCTGAATGATTCCCAATCAACTTGGCTGAGCATTTTGAATCTTTCATCCAGAGATATAAACCCAGCTTGAGATGAGACGAAACCCGACTTACCAGCTTTATAGAGCAAAACAATGCTAGATCCCATGTCTGGGCCGTGAAGCTTTCCGGTTAGCAACACCCTGAGGGGCATGAACAGAGACTTTCCCTGGGGCACAAAATCAAAAATGATTTGAGATGTCAAATGTCACCAACATGTTAATGTGCCTACCCGAAAGACGGCTTTGGCCCAAAAAACAACAACAATAACAAAGCTTTATCCCACTAGGTGGGGTTGGCTACAAGGATCAAAAGATGTCATTGTGGGAATAGTAGTGGAATGCTAAAGGGGAAGTTAACCAAGATTTCTCACCTTCCGCTTCAGTGATTTACCAAAGGTCTTTACCCACTTCTGCCACCCAGGTTGGCCTTCTTCAAGTGCACCCAATAACTCACCACTCGAATAGGCAGCTTGCAAGCTCTCTGCAACTTCACATAGTCCATCATCCAAAACTGATTTTGCTTCAGGGCTGCAAAATAGATTAGGGTCACTCAAATTAAGTCATTAATTAAACAATTATTCTTATAATAATTAGATAAATGTGATGCATGGAGTACTAGAACGGTTGTCTATATGGCACGCTGAGCTGTAAACAGAAATACTAATGCCTTGAAGCAGAAAGTTAATAGAGGGGAGTTTGGGTAGAATTGTTTGGTAAAAAAATTTATTAACTTATTGAGTAGCAAATTTGTGTGAAAAATATAAAATGACTTTCTCACATAAATAAAAGATAGATAAGCGGGCCATTTTTGCAAAAGAAAATGGTCATATTACTGGGGGGGGGATTTAAAACGCAGTAGTAGCTCATTTCTCAGATGTTATATCTTAGGAGTTGGGACAGAAAGTTCCATTTCTTCAATTTGTTAAATTGACAATATGCTCATGATGTGTCGCATTAGCATTTTATCTCACCTGTTCAGGGTTTCATGAAAAGGATAAGATAATAAGTTCGAAAGAACTTTCTCTGAATCGCTTATCAAGTCAATTCCATCCTTCAAAATCACAACTGCCTCCTGTTTAAATCAAAAATTTGAGTAAGATGCCGTTTTTCAAAATAACAGTTGACTCAGTCTAATTGAGTCTTGTAACTTTCTGATAAATGAACCCAAAAACTGCAATAAGGGTAAGGTGGCATACATCTTGACCCCTAAATATAGAGATACGAGCAACTTTAAAACATTTTCCAGCAAAAAAATCTAAACATCTTCATTTTCATTGTTTTAAACCAAAGCGAACTAAGACATTGAAATTCAAGAGCAGAAGTGCAGAACATACCTGTATAAATGTTCCCTCTGATTCTGTAAGAATACCTGTGTCCTTCCAGCGGCTACCAATGATTTTTACTAACTCTTCCAACGGTAGAGATCTCAAGTGTTGACCATTCATCCACCTACGTTTTTTCACTGGTACTGGGTAAGTAAGTATAACATATTCACAGAATATTACAATTCATTGCGAACAGATAAAGCTCAGGAAATCGTGTAAAATGCAGGTGAAGGAACTCAAAGCATAGAGCTGAAAAAATCCATTACCTAAACTTTGTGGAATCAAAAATGGCACCACCCTTGTTTACTCGTTCAATTGTGAACTTTTCAACTGTAAAGCCAAATGACTGTTTCAGGTAAGTTACACGACTGCAGATCATAACGGAAAAGTATATTCTGTTTCAGCCCAAGATGAAAGATGTATAAACAACTCTAAAATTAAGGCGACTCACCCAGTTGCTCAAGGGTGAAAAATTCATTTTCTGTGCCATCACCCCATCCCAATAATGCAAGATAATTCACCATAGCCTGAGGCAAATAACCCATCTCCTTGAACTGGTAAGATATAAAATTAATTAATTAATTAAAATAAAATTAAAAGAAAGACTGGTAACACTATTCATTCGTATGGTAGGGCTGTATGGGTAAAAAAAACTTGAAGGGAACTTTTTTCTCCATTATCTTTGAGCTTATAGCCCATTGCCAATGGAGCTAAAATAGTCATTCTTGACTGTGTTTTAGTTAGAGGAAAATAATGGACTAAATCAAAATGGTACATTAAACTTCCCTTCTTGCTTTCTATGAGGTTTTGGGTTGCAAATGCAGCAATTCATCAAGGGTCTAACGGAAAGAGGCACTATTTTTTACAAGGGTAAATTTGTGTACATCTTAACCCCAGGCTCAAACGGAGTTGAGATTAAATTGGGCTTATTGCTCTTGTATGGTCTTTAAACTTGGTGATGGTCGAAAATGATAATCCAGTAGTTCTATGCCAGTAAGTGATGAAAAAAAAGCACTGAAATGATGAGCGAATCAGTTACCTGGCCCACTGAAGTTGCACCGTGTCGTTTTGAGAGTTTGCTTCTATCAGGGGCAAGAATTAAAGAAACGTGTGCAAAGGAAGGCATTGGAAAGCCAAGGGACTGAAACATGGGGAAGAAGTCATAAATGTGATGAAAAACCCAAACGCTCTCACCTTAAATTATAAAAGATGAAAGGGAGAAACATTTAAGCAGCATTTGAAGGGAGAGAGATGAAGAACCTTATATATTAAAGCTTGCCTTAGAGTGTTCGGTAAATGCTCTTCTGCTCTGAAGCATCAAAAGTGAACAAGAGTTCATGTACATTGGAACCAACAATTAATAGAACAGCACAGCCTGTGCTTACCTTATAACGTGTGAGATAGCCATGGTAGCATCATCAACAGTGACACAGAAATTGTAAACAGGTTGTCCATTACTTCTCATGATAACAAAATCTCCAAGAGTGTCGAGATTCCAGCTCACCTTTGTGATGGAATAAACAAGATTATAATCCACCACAGAGAATAAATTTAAAGTTCCAAAACAAAACTTAAATGCACGGTACAAGCTGTGATTCCAGAAGACTATAGAAAATATCAAGCATAAAGTGAGGAGAATGCTATAGATGATTGCTTGTATTTCAAATTGATCTTACAACCTTCATTGGCTTTTAACTGTGTAAGTAATTTCTTGTAAACTTTTATTCTTCCTTTGCTTGTTAATTGTAAACAGTTTCTCTGCATTGTAATCCCTAATAAAACAATCGATAGTGAATTAAGAATGAAACTCCATAATATTCCTATCATCTTGTTTAATTATCCGACACCACTCCCTCTATTATAATCTATTATTTGTCCATTTTTCTTCAACAGAGATGACAGCTTCTCTCCTCACCGTATATGTTATCTTGTCACCCCATTGATACAAATGGTGCCCAAATGGATCCACAATCAATAACGAAACTGTCCACATGTTGTGGGGCATCAATATGTGCAATATTAAACCCACGCCAAATGGCATGGACAGTGAATGACTCTCAGATTCCATGACCTCCCTAGTCCAGAAACTGAAGTCTCTTGCTGGAATGCTAGCCACTTTACACAAAACTGTGATAGCCAATCACATCCACAGCTCAAGCTCCAACTACAATTTCCACCACACCCTACCATTGTACCAACACTTCCAAATCCGCCCAATTCAATAACTAAGGGTTGATTGCACGTGCTAGATCTATTTTTTACCATGTCCTATGACTATATATGGACTATTAATATTAAAATTGAGGCACTCTGGACCCACTAAAGACTCATTTACCTGTTGGACCCATAGGATATGGGTATGGGTCCGGCCTCCTGATATTCATTGGATATGGTTCCAAGCATAGAAAAATAATATAGATTTGGATTTGGGTGGATCTTGCTCAAATCTTGCCCATTTCCATCCCTAATTAAGTTCCAATTGTAAGGGTCTGAAATTGCCAAAGTGGACATTGTTAGATGGCAACAGTGGAGTGGTGGGGACAAGATGATGGCGGTGTAGAAACAGATCCGAAAAGTGCATATTTATATGTAGTAATTCACAGTTCTATTTTGTGTTATATATTTATTAAAATTAAATTCAGGAAATAATTGATTCGTATGAAGTTTTTGTTTTTTTTTTCATTTTAACAACCAATACAGAGAACAGGCTATACATTCATATTTCCATTATAAAAAAATGATCATTTTTGTGTCAAAGCTCACATTTATTAGTAATATTGGTGACTTGATGCCATAAAATTGCTTCACTTTGATATATTGCGGGCGGGCTAATGGTAAATATGGGCCAAAACTAAATCATCTAAGCACTCCAGATAGACATAAGATGCTACTCCTTCCGCCCCATGATTTTCTTCTCTTTCCAATTTGGGTCAGCCAAATATTTTGTTCCACTTTCCTTTTCACAAAAAGATTTTTTGGTTGAATTTTTTTTCTATACTCTACAGAAATTCCAGCCATGCAATTATTATTGGACAAGTTTCAAAACAGGAAAGTAATTAATTATTATTGGACAGAGGGAACAATAATCAAGAGAACCCTTTGGAAATTTTTCTCCTATAGTCTCAAGGCAAACACAAGTTTTTGGTAATCAAGTACCAAAACCAAAGGCAAAGCAAACACTATATAGAGATATAGAAATGGAACAAAGGCTTAAAAAAGTATCAGAACATCACAAACCTCACCACGGATGAGGTCGTCAATTTTCAGTCTCCCTTCACTAGGTACTCTAAACCTATATGTATATGGGGTACCCTTTTCCAATTCTTCTTGCACTTCCTCCTCAGTTGCTCTTGCCCATTTTCCTGTATAAACTGGAGGCAGCTGCTTCAGTTTTGCAATCTCTTTCATTTTCTCTAGTTCCTATTACATTTATTTATATAAGTGAATAAGGTGGCATGCAAAAAGAAAGAGCAATAATGAAATTTTAATATTAATATATGGAGAAACTTAGTGAGATCAATCCGAACAAATAAACAAGACAAAACTAGTGACTAGTCTAAGATGGAACAGCAACAGTTCTCTGTAAGTAGCTTACTATGGAGGATTGGAGGATCTTAAGCAATAAATTTGGGGAAAAAAATGTGGTGAATACACTATCCTATTCGGCATCCCAGTCATTAAAATGAGTCAAATACCCAAGTATTATCACCTCACTAGAGCAGAAACATCGATAAACGTGACCAGATTGTAAAAGTTTTTCAGCATATTCCTTGTAAAGTGCATTCCTCTCGGACTGCCTGTATGGTCCATAGTTTCCACCAATTCCAGGACCTGCACCACACCACAATATAATATAAATACCACGCAGTGGAAACCTGTATAACAGATTCGAAAAGGCCTGACACAGAAAGCATAAAATAAAAAGAACATATTATGTATAAAATCAAAAACAAAACAAAATAAGGTCCAGAAAACCAACAAAAAACATCTCTACAGTACTTATCCTATTGGCCAAAGGTAATGGTTTAAAAAGGTTAGACAAGAACCACTGTTGCTTCAAAACCAGAACAGTTCCAATTTTGCAGTATGAACTTGTATACTTATAAGTTATAATGAAATTGAACTTGCAGATTTTTATAAGCAACTGAGTTTCAAGTTTCAACATGAGAATAGACACCTTAAGGGAGTAAGATCATGTTCTCTTCAACTTATTCTTATTACTTATTAATTTTTCTTATTGGAATTAGATCAGTAAAAAACTTTAAATATAACTATATTCAGACCAAATCGAATCAAACCAGATCAAATCAAAACCTATTTCAATCAGATCAGGTGAAGAGAACATGGCCTAAGACAACAAACCTTCATCCCAGCTGAGACCAAGCCAAGAAAGATCAGAAAGCATGACTTCCTCCGATTCTTTTGTTGATCTTTCCAAGTCAGTGTCTTCAATTCGAAGAATAAACTTTCCACCATTGGACCTGCCACAATAGCACTATCAAAATTTACAACGAAATATCCATTGCCTAACATATATGGTGCTTGCTTATCTTCTCAATATCTTCTTTTTTACATCATATGGAAAAGAAAGAAAGAAAATAAACCTTGCAAACAGGTAATTGAATAGGGCAGTTCGGGCTCCTCCAACATGAAGATTGCCTGTAGGCGATGGTGCAAACCGAACCCGCACTTCTTCTCCTTGTGTATTCTTTCGAAGAGGGTAGGATTTAATAGCTGAACAGGAAATTGAAAATGTTCTCTTTGGAAAATAGTTACTCTGCTGGTTCTTTCGAACTCCATCTCTGCAATAAAGGCATGATGATTGCGGAAGCAATGGAAGAGACACCCTCTTGGGGATTAAGCTCATTCTTACCCTAGGAAGCATCATGGACACAGACTGTAGAAAGATGTGAAGAGCTTAATAAATTGGACAAGAACACTACAAAGGATGATCCACTGCACAAAAACACTATAAAGTTACAAAATTGACCAAAATAAAACAAATTATCCCCTTTCTAAATCCCGCCAATTACGCAATTTTCTTTAAAAAAAAATCCAAATACTACCCGTTTGCCACCCACCCATTCTTCCATCATTTCCTTCACTCCTTTTAATCAAAGATTCAACCTTTCTCTTTCTTTCTAAATTTCAGCACTCACTCTAGAGCTTTCAAAAAAGATATACCTGTTGAAGAAGAGGACGGAGGTGGACGAATGGATGCGAAAAAAAAGCACTGTGTAGAATTAGAGTAGGAAGAAGCCATGGATGCCATTGCTCTGCTACCCCCAGTCGCGCTTGGGCTCCAGTCCAATTACACATTGTGGTGGGCTCCATATGTTGGCCGGCCCGAATTAGATCCAATAATTTTTCGCTCCGGTCCAAATTAATTTTCAAACTTGGGAAATGCACACAAAAGAAATGTGTAGAATGAAATTGATTTTTTCTATTTCTTTTTTCCATTAAAATGAAAGGAATATTATTCTTGTATTTTTATTTTTTAACTTATATTTCTATCATCCCGTTTTTTTTTCCTTTTTCTTTCTAACCAAACATCTAAAAATATCTTTTTTTCTTTCTTTTATCTTCCAAATATATTGAGTCGAGCAAAGAGTTAAGAAATGTTCTTTTATCTTTTCACAATCTCCAACATTCATTTTTTACTATAAATATTTTTTACATTACTAAAGATTATGATAAGATGACAACTATAATATACTATGATTGCTTTCCCATAATACTTCGTGAATTAATGTTATTTGTGAAATATTATTTGTCAAATTTTGCTATGAATTTCAAAAGGTATAAGTAAATTTTACGGAGTATTTGAATCTAAAGATGTACTGAGAACTATGAAATAAGGCGTACACTTTGTTTTGTCTATGAAAATGTTTTCCGAGACAGCTAAATATTAAAAAATCTCAACAATAAAATTCTTAATTGAAATAGATAGAATAGACGTTCTAGTTTTGAAAGGCAATTTATTGATTGTAATATTCTCCGAACCTCTGTCTACTGCTTTTCAATGTCATGTCCTTCATAATCCCATAAATACAATCCACCAATTTCAAATATTTTTAAGATTAAATTCCATAATTGGTCTTTTATAACATAGGAATTTCCCTATTTAGTCATCTATTATCAAATATTACTTCAGTGGTCCTTCTTTTATGAGTATCTTCCCACAGACAATGATGTTACTTTTTGTGCCTAATGATCTATGATTGTGTCCATCTTTATTATCAAACTTTTAAATATTTCATGCTACAATCACACCACGAATGACGCCGAGGTTGACACCGCTAGTGTCTCACTAGACGTGTGTGAGTAGCTCAAATAATGCATGCCTTAGTGTCATCTTTGGGGGGTTAAAGTCACATTTTCCTTTGCACAAGTTGAATACTGCGGATAAAGATTTTCATTACACAAAACAACTAAAAAAAACACAACTAAGGGAGAAAAGGCAAAAGCTTGACCCTCAAAAATGGAAAACTACGGATATAATTATCCCCAGCAGATGACAATTGCACCTCTGCTGGGAAAGAAGCAGAGGTAGCTGGTGGCAATTAACAACCAAGAATTGCAAATAAAATTAAGATCTCAAAGTCGTCTCTTTGAAAAGTATTTGACATTGAACAGTGTCTAATCAATTGGAAATCTTACTTTCCTCCACTTTTAGCATAACTATCGCGCAGTGTGACCGTTCGGTTAAACACCAATTTCTGTGCAGTTGAGTCCTTGTCAACGGAAAAATAGCCTGGGTTCACATAAACAAAACAAGCTCAGCATCAGTCTCATCCAGTAAACCTTGCATCAAATCGGGCAGAACTGGTCGAGGTTAATATGATGAGGATGAAGAGACAACCGTGTCGGCTACTCCTATACTCCCTCCATTATGATTTAGTTGTTCACTTTCTTGGAGTTACTCTGTAGTCTCTAATTACTTGTCACATTTTTAAAAACATTTATTAAAATGATAATTTTTAGAAAGTGGACAACTAAATCCAGACGGGACTCGGGAGTATATGTTTGTTGTAAAAAACAACAGTTGAAGTTAATAAAAGGAGCGGGTAAAAGCAAAAAACTGAGCAGGTAAAAGCAAAAAAATTGCAGCAGGTAACTTAAAGATCAAATGACAGGAATATCAAGATCTTTCAAACATAAACATGAAGGGATCAAGAACCTACCAAGCCTTTCGAACTGAAATTTATCTCCAACTGCCGCATTGCATAGTGAAGGAACTGCATACGCATTTGGCATCACAACTTTGGAGTGTGGATTTAAATCATCAAGCCAATTATCAAGTTCACCGGGGTTCTGGTAAAGACAAAGACATTGAAATTATCAAACACGGCAAAGACAAGTAAAAAAGCTAAACCCAAGGTACTCTCTCCTTTCCGCAAAGATAAGTTTGCATTTACTTTTGCGCGGATTAAGAAATACGGAGTAATAGGTCATTTAATTAAAAATAAAACTTCGCCTCTAGTTTCCATATAAGCTTCAGTGTATCATTAATGATAGAACGAGCATTTTTTAGGTAGTTAATGTGAAGTAATATCAAGATACACTAATTATGACATGTATGAAAACAAAGAGTAATGACAGGCACAACATTGTAAGTAGACTATTTTGTGAATGGACTAAAAAGGAATAGTAGACAATCCATGTGGGGTGGAGGGTGTGCTTTTTTCTATTGAAAAAAACTGTGCCATGTTAGAGAAGAAATATGTTAACAAACCTCAGAAAGGAACAATTTCTCAAACAATCTCACTTTGGCCTTAAGTGGATTTACTCCAGGTGATGGTTCAGCAACCCAATGAAGAACCCCCTACAATGTAATTTTAAGAATTTTAGAGCTGAGAAAGAATGTTAATTCTCAAAATACAGATTAATACAACAATTTTTGCAAAAACGTCTTGAAAATTTCAACTTTAGTAACTCCACCTTTGGTTTGACTGCCTTGGATGGATCATACTCTGCCCGAAGCTCAATAACAGTCTCTTTATCGTCACCCAAAATTACTTCTGTGCACTTGATAGGAAAGGCATACCTGCAAAATAATTATGTTTCATTGTGGTGTTGATTAAATGTGGCTAAAAACCTTCAACTACTTTGAATCGAGATAATGGCACCTGAGAAGCACAAATTTCCCAGGAGCAAGACCATAATAATCTTTGGAGTCCTTCATCCTAAAATCAGAATGCTCAATGTATATAACCTTGGAAAAGGGAACCTGCAAATAAAGCATAAATAATGCTTCATTAAGAGACCAATATATTCAAGGCATTATCAATTCTCAGCTCATACATTGGGAGGAGGGGGGGGGGTCTGCATACTAGCATTCTAAATGTATACCCTAATGAAACATTTCTCTACTTCTCAATAGGTAAACACGTAGTCCGGTAGAGAAACGCAGTTCTAGGTCGTGATTCGGTAGCAGGTATAAACAATATTGGTGGACTATAAATTGGGTTGATTTTTTGTAGTCATATACATGATAATACACAAACACACATTAAATTCTTATTGACCCTTGAACGTAGGTAGTGCACAAACCTTTAGTGGATTAAGGACAACCATTGCTCTAGGTGCTGTTTTATTTAGTTCTTCTCTAATATGATGCTCAAGACGATCCAAACGTATCACACTGTGGTCACTGCAGGAATACTACTATCAGCATCACTTGCCCAAAGGATACAGAACAAAATTCACATGTTGTTTATACGTTTAATGGTGGCAACCTCAGACACACTATAATGAGAATCTCACCTTCTAGTGATCCCAATTCCACGGACAAAATCATTAATTGCAGTTGGAGTCACACCTCTACGGCCCAATCCAGCTAGAGTCATAAGACGAGGATCGTCCCACCCATCAACCAATTTTTCAGTTACAAGACGGTTTAACTAGAGAGGGCAAAAGGGTGGTCAATTACTAATCCATTAAAAGATGTTGTAGAGCCAACATAGTACTGCATCAACATTTAAGATTCAAATCTACCTTACGCTTAGACATCACATTGTTAGTTATGTTCAGACGTGAGTACTCCCATACAAAAGGTTTGTAGAGACCTAGAGCATCCAATAACCAATAATATGAAGCACGGCGGATCTCAAATTCAAGAGTGCATAGCTGCAAAAAAATTAAAAAAAAAAATAAAAATATCCATTTCCGTACATCAAATAATCAATTAGTATGACCAAATACTGTCAACAACCCTGTGGCTCATAATGTGATAAAAGTAGTCGCCAAAAACTTATTAACTTATAATGATGACATCATATATATCGACCATATATGTTGAAAAACCAAGTAATTTATAAAAATTCTAAATATCATATGATATCAACAGCCAATACGTCAAGAATCATAACCCTTTAATCATCAGACGTAAAATTATGTCAAAGATTCATAGGATTATTGCTTGCTCTACAATGAGCTACAGGTCTAGCCTCCCTTGAATAATTTTATTGCACGCTGATCTTCTCCCTTCTAAAGGAGTAAACAAAAACACTGTGACACACAAAAAGAGTATAATGCTGATACATTGAACCACACTTTAAGTGCACACACATCATGCCAAGATAGTAGAGTTATTTAAGTTTCAACTATTCAAAATGGCTGCAAAATAGGAGACAAGGTGTGATCTTGGTTATATTGTTTTCCCCTTTAGTTCCTGGTTCATGCATCCTCTTTTACCATTACACAAACATGTGCCAAATGTGTGTGCATGTGTGTATGCACGGGGACAGGCACATTCATGCATTTAACTAACCACTTATGTATAGGATGTACCCATTTATGAAAGAACGCACACAAAACCACATGATAGAAAGCAGAAAAGTACACACTATTGACTATACAAATCAGAATTCAAAAAAAGGATGCATTGAGATACATTATTTTTCTTTATTGTTTAAATTTTTAGACAAGACACATAATTTCCAATACAAATTCAGAAATCTGATGAGCATATATACAACAACAACAACAACCCAGTTAAATCCCACAAGAGTAGGGTCTAGGGAAGGGTGTGTGTACGCAGACCTTGCCCCTACTCGAAAGTAGAGAGGCTGTTTCCAAAGAGACCCCCGGCTCAACGTCGAAAGTTGCATTGCTTGACTAACTGCTACTTCATTAATTAAAGAAGCGCAAATAGTTTAGATATCCATTTTGATTTATTCCATCACACCCCAAAGCCAAAAACAGGTGAGATTTTGGCTCCATCGGAGATGATGGAAAACTGATGAGCATATATAGGGAAACTGAAATACCATCAAATTCAAAAAGTAACACTGACATACCGAATGAGTAACGTTTTCAAGAGAATCAACTATGCAATGGGCGTAATCATAACTTGGATAGATGCACCATTTATCCCCCGCATGTGGGTGTGGAGTGAACTGGAGATACCATATAGTTAATATCAGTAACTAACACATGTTTGCAGAAATTCAAGGTCATCCCAAAAAGTACTTGCCTTGATACGATAAGCGATCAAGTCATACATGTTTGGATTATCACTTTGCATGTCCTGTTTCATCCGTAGTGTTGCTTTTCCCTCTTCAATCATGCCACGCTTCATTTCATCAAACAGTCTTAAAGATTCTTTGACTGGCCGATCTCTCCATGGGCTATTGATTTTTTTCTCCCTGTACTCTTTTATCTCTTCAGGCGTCTGTTTAAATAGAAAGGTAAATCAACCATGGGGTCTTCTGAGTATATCATTCCAAACCAAAGTAGAAGTCAACAACGATGATTTTTACAAGGTATGTGGACATCTGAAGTTCCTTGTTTTAGACCCAGTATGTATTTTAGTTCCAAACATCAGAATTAAAACATTGAACAGTGACACACAAATACAAACCCATTAAAAACACAACCAGTTAAGGTTGATGCCCTGATGGCATTAAATCTGTAGCGCCAACCAATTAAATAAAATTACTCGGTAATTAACAATAAACTCATGCAAGTAAAACATAGTGACAATGTTTTACGCCAGATGCCCTTCCTGACGCAACCTTCTTAATCTAAAAAGGACATGATTTTACACAAAATTACCTGGTGATCAACATAAGCATGGCCATTTTGTATCAATGCCACAGCAAGCTCATAAAGTTCTTGAAAATAGTCACTAGTGTAAGTAATCTGCAAAAGGCAAGCAACAGTAAGAAATACATAGCACGCTGTAAATTAACAGTTTTGTATTGAAATTTTACCTTAAAGGGTTCCCATCCCATCCATCTTACAATTTCTTCAATATGATCAATATATTCTTTCTTTTCAGCTTCCGGATTGGTGTCATCATACCTAGGGAGACAAGAAATAAATTCAATGACAAAAGCTGACAGAAGTATGTCACCAATACCAACAAAGATATACCAATATAAGGTGGAAAGACATAGAGATAGACAGACACATGGGGGAGAGAGAGAGAGGGGGAGAGAGAGAGAGAGAGAGAGCAAATGGAAAAGGAATCTCACCTCAAATAGCAGCATCCACCTCGCTCTTTTGCCAATCCAAAATCAATAAACATTGCCTGTTTAATTATCAGACATTTTTAGTTAAGTAAAAAAATGCAAGGGAATAGCTAATTGGTATTGGTATTTTAACAAATCTATAACCTTGGCATGGCCTATGTGTAGATATCCATTTGGCTCAGGAGGAAACCGTGTAAAAACTTTTCCACCAGTTGATTTCAAATGCTTTTCAAGTAGTTCCTTTGTATTGCATACTCTACGGATAGGCCTGTCACTGAAGTATATTTCTGTGTGTACCTGGTATAGGTACATAGTTATTTACAGAAATAAAATGTCTGAAAAAAATATTACTATAGCATGAAGGTGCTTGAAGTTAACATACTGACAACTGCTATCTTTGAATTAACGTGACCCCTATCCCCCGCCAAACACGCAACTGCTATCTTTGGATTAACTCATTATCATCATTATAAGAACCTTAAACTCAACTTGTTGACATCAGTGGCATACTTTTAAAGAGCCAATCAATTGTATCGAGTAAATTAATACTGTGAATTCAAGCATAAAGCATAGTGGAAATGTATGAAAATTTTAAATCATTATCTTACAAAAATAACACCAAAATAGGTATAATCCCAACTCTGATGGAGTCAAACCCAGCAAAAACAGAGGTTTTCATTAGACCATTGGTGCATTGCTGGATTTACCGCCCAAAACTTCATAGAAAGTAAGAAGGAAGAAAAGTTCAATGTGTCTTTTTATTTAGTCCATTCCAAAGCTAAAGCATTGTCAAAATGACTCTTTTAGATCCATTGGGAATGGACACTTGGTTGTTTTGAAATGAATGGAAAATATCATGTGATAGTGTGATGGCAAGAGTTGAGATACAGATACTTTGTGTTGCCATGTTTCATTACAAGATTGATATTGTCAAAACAAGCTCAAGACTATTATCAAAATAAAAATATGGCATGATTGCAAAGTAATGAAGCATGCAGAACTTAACAACCTTGTAGTTTTCCTCTGGGGATGGAAAAATTGAAAATGGATTAATTTCATCCTCGGATGGACTCGGTGCAGGCACCTCCTCTGTACTAGCTTTACTCTGAGATGGAGAGCACATAATAAGGATAAGAATGTGTTATTTAAGTTATATAAACCCTCAAATAATAAAATTTTCAAAGTAGCTTGAACCTCAACTTTGGCAGGCTTTTCTTTCTTCTTTTTAACAGGTTTCTCATCATCTTCAGCAGTTCTTTCTCCAAGTAATGCAACCAATTTTGCATCTATAAGTTGCTGTGATAATAAAACAAACATTAAAGATTTACAGACAGATCAAGTATTATAGCATACACATTACACAGGGCATGCCAAGAGGATCATTCAACTAGCATCAAGATTGAAATCAAAAGTCCTTCACAAATTTCTCTTTTCAAATCAATGTTTAAAATGGCATTGCGCAATAAGCCATATTGCCCGCCTCATCTATTACGGAAGAAAAACGCCTTGTGGCAATCTAGCCATAGGCCATATGGGTTTCGCAGTTATGGCGCAAGAAGGCTAGGCAATACATGAGACAGGAGGCGTACACCATTTCTAAGAAAAAAATTAAGATTAATTTTAAATTAGTAATTTAATTAGAAAAATGTAAACGTTAAACTACTAAACCCTATTTTATCAATATCTCCAATCTCTACTCTGGTCTTACGTGTTCAGACTTCATCCCTCTTGGGTGGTCTTCATCTTTTCTTCGGTCTCCCTTTCTTCTTTTTATTTGCTTTTAAACATTTATATTTGTTTGGTGATAACATTTCTTCACATTAATTTGCTATTCATTTATTGCTTTTAGTTTTTATTTTTACCCCTTTGCCATTAAAACTTGAAATTTCATGTACATAAATTTTAGTTTTTTCTTTTTAGAAAAACAAATTGCGAAATGGCAGACCTAGCATTTGACAATTTAAGTCTATTGCTTACAACCAATTTTTTGTACTATACTACTATGTCATGGAAGACTTTTTTGCGTTTGAAACATTTTACTTTAACAATATACTTCTATAATGATTATGGATTAACTATGTTATTAATAATGTTCTATCTTTAATTTTAACAGTATTTTATGCACATCTTACTATCCTAGTACTTTAAAACGAGCTTATGCCTCAGTACGCCTCGAGGCTTACGCAATACGGCTTGGGGAAAAATGCCTCAAAACCGCAATACGCCATTTTGAACATTGTTTCAAATAGATAAGAAAATTTCTCTTTTGTAAATTCATTTGATCACCTCAATGCGTATCGCTTTAACATTGCTTGGGGTGGGGTGGGGTGGGGGAATTGGGTAAATGTGAATGCATCTCTAGGCAATAAACAATACTCCCGAAGTCCTAAATTTTTCTTCCCATTTTTTCTTTCTTGGTTGTCCTAAAATTTACCTATTTACTTTTAATGATATATTTTTGTGGCTCATATTTCTTCGGTTCTTCCCTCAGTAGTCACTTATAAATCATTTACTACCATTCAGTTCCACTTAAATACTATTCCGATTAAATATAGGAAGAAAATTTTAGGTCGGAGGGAGTAATAAACAATTGAGCATAAATAAATAAAATGTTTTAGAGTAAAACCAAAGCTTGTCCATTTGCAGAGACTGATATTAAAATATTATGAGCAAGGAGTCAAGGACCCATGTGGTGAAGCATTCATGTATCTGTTATCTTGGTCATAACTTGCTGATGACTAAATCCCCAACCCCCACATCCTCAAAGGACAAACCTAAGAACATTGGGTATGAGAGAAAATAGAAGGAAAAAATTATTATTACCTTGACTATTTTAGGGTCTGCCCATGGCTGCTTCTTACGAACAGCAGCAAATAGTTCACCAACTACAGAGAAGGAAGATGTTACTCATGTCATCTTGGAGCCAAGAGATGAATACTAATGTAATCAGAAAGGTTACCATATGTATTTAAAAGATTTCACATGCTGCCATCTCTAAGATATCATTCAATCAATAATGTTACAGGAACTGATAAAAAATTGTTACCACATAAGTGATGGACATCATACAAAACAAACGGGAATATAACTATCATCAAAATAATCTATACATTCATGTACATTTTCTACCACTTTTTTCTAATACTCCCTATGTCCCTAAATACCTTTCCTCTTTCACTTTTCATTTCTCCCAAAAAATCTTTCCACTTTCTATTAAAAAGTCACTTTTACCCCTAATAATTCTTACCTTACCTATCTATCCACTATTAATCTACCATTCACATCCTACTTTTACACAAAGACATTTTTGGAAAGTCAATACCAAAGTGCACTCTTTAAATCCCTTAAAAGTCAATACATGAAGGGTTTTTAGGGACAGGGGGAGTATATAATACCAAAAAAATCTTGTAAATGGTTATTGCCTATAGGGGATAGAATGGAACAGAGAACCTCTCGTTCATGAGAAAAATTAATACATTTTTAAGGATTATTAATTGCGGATAGATATATGTCATATATCAAGAATACATTTTCAACAAAGACAAAACGTAGATGATCCTCAAAGACAAAACGTAGATGATCCTTACTCATCTCTCATTACATGAAGCAGCATTTGTGCCTAAAACATTATTTTACTCTAGATTTAGTATTAGAAATATTTTCACTGATCCGTGAAAATTTACTTTGATAAAATATTATTTTATTCATGCATTGCTAATAGAGCTAAAGTAATCACTTTTAACAATTATTAACTTCAGGTAAATAATAAACTAGATTAAAAAAGGAAAATTAATTTATTTTGTTGAAGTTTAAGAAAAAATGCATCAAGGGTTAAAAGGAAACAACCTCACTGTTCTACAAGGGTAAGGCAGTAAGGCTGCATACATCTTGACCTTCAGGTCCTAATGTAGTTGGGATTACACTAGGTTTGTTGTTGTATAATTAAAAATTACTAGTACTCCGTATAGTGTTAACACGGGTCCATGAAGATACATTCATACCGAACCTAGATTTGCCGTGCATGAACGTGTTGCATCCTGCAGTGCTTCACACGTGAGATTATCTAAGCAAGAAATACCTACCATTTGTTCTGTAACGCTGCTCCAATATCTTGGCCTTGTTCTCTTCAAAAATGTCATGAACTATGAGCTCTATTTCTTCCGTAGACACTTCAACTCCTGTCAAAATCCTCATAAATGATATATTCCTAAAAGTATATAGTAAGTATATAAAAAGGAACTACTAGTAATCCGGGGCTATCAAGTAAATCAAGATAACTAGAGCTTATACTGGAGAAATAGATTAATGAATAAAAATGGAAACAAATTGGAAAGAAAAATACATATTCTGTTTACTCGCTTCCCTAGCAATTCTTTATGCTATAAAAAGAATTTCAATGCAGAGATTTGAAGAAAAAAAAGTATAGTATGTGGTTTACATACCAACACCACAAGCCTCCTCAAATTCATTGACCTTCAAAGACTCCGAAGCATTAGCCATAAGAAACGTGAATGCAGCGTCCAACTGAGCAGAGGTTTTGATCTGCAGGGATAAAGTTTCTAGTTATTCCAGATGAAAGTGTTGAAAACAATGAGTCCATTATTATATCTAAACAAAAAATTCAATGCTTTGATATCAATCAAATTTGGAATAAAACAGATCAATATCCATTTATGATGCCAGTTGTAGTAATGATGATGATTTACATTAACCAAAGGTTGCTTAAATAATAATAATAATAATAACAATAATAATAATAATAATAAACAGAAAATCAATACACCACAATACAAATAACTGAAGTGCAAACCTTGCATGAGACAATATACTTCAGCAATGTGGGTCTATGTACAAGAGCATTTGCTGGAAATTTTGTCGCAACCTATAATGCAAAAAATTAATATCAGACCATGTGAGTCCTTCGGAATTGTGCTGAACTTGTTAAATATAATCAAAGCCTGGTTCATTCTTTAAAAAATTGTGTATAGTCTTTAGCTCTAACATCAAGCTAAACATAGCTCTAAATTATTTGCCCAACAAAAAAATGCTTTGTATATGTACACAAATATTGTGCATCCAGAATTTAAAAAAAAAACATTCTTAAAAAAGCTTAGTTCTGAAACAGAAAACATTACAAATAAAATAGGTCACCTTACCGTGTATAACATGTTCCCAGTGCTTCTATCACAACCATCAGTTACAGCTGCCTGCAATTATCATTGACATATCTCAATTTATCAGTATTCATAACAACTTCCTCAAATTTTACATCTGATCACAATTTTCTCATTGAAAAATGAGAATTCAGAACTTCAAATTTTCTCTCGCATTTGTGCTGGTTAGGAACTCACATGAACCACACTCTATCTTAGTTTTTGACTGTCCATCTCATCGGTCATACATTATCTACTCCTCTAATCGTAATAATTGCAGTGCGTGTAAATTATTTATCCATCCCTGCCCCTATGAGTACACACACGAACATAGATGTCCTATTCAGAATTGACAACTACTTCTGCTAAAGATCCTTCAGTCCAGCAAGAGTGGATATAGTAAATCGGAAATTGAGTACGTACAGAGTACTCGAGAGTAAAGAACCCTGCATTCTTTTTTAATGATCAAGAATTAATATGTTAAACCACCTAAATCTAAAATTTTACTTGCATCCAACTATTCCTCTTCATATGACATTCTTTTGAAATTTGAACCATCAGCAATACGCAATTACATAATCTGTTCAAACAATTAGCTGCTTAGTGACTTTGATTGCAGAAGTGGAAAAGTCTTACTACCAGGAAATGAATAGAAGACGAGTATCAAAAAATAATGATGAACTGAACAATATAGCCAACGATGGGAATAAAAAAGGGAAATCGGAATTTCATGGCGAAGCAATTTACCTCATGGATCACAGCAGTCAGATTAGCTGTAACTTTGTTGTTCGCGACTGTGTTCTTCGCCGTCCGTTCATCCAAACCTATCTTTAGGAATAGCTCAAGAGGGCTTTCGCCGCCGCTTCCGTTCTTCTCCGCCATAACTCCGATTAAACACTGGATAGTTTAAATTTCTTTTGAATGTTACTAGGTATAGTCCAGTCTCGGCGGCGGAATGACAAAGAATCTTCAGCAAGAATTTTGCTTGAGATTCAAATTACTGTAAGATGGTTGCAGTTTCCGCAGTCATAAATAAATCCTTGGCATAATTTTCTGGTAACTTACCTGATTAGGGTTTTAGAAGAACTTTTATTTAAGTTTCGTTTGGGTGGGTTGATTGATTAATAAATCTTTTGACAGTGGAATCTCGGATCAAATTATGATTCACATACTTACGTGTTCCGTTCGTAAAATTAATGATTTATATTTCTAACTCCTGCCCATCCTACCACAGCACCCCAAACCCCTCTCTCCATTTTGCTGATTGATTGTGGTGGGGTGAACAGCTAGGGGACATAGGGTAGTGTTTGGGAGGGATAAAGTGATCATTAGTTTTATGAACGCAATATCATGGGTGTCCCGAAATCATAATAATATGACTCAGGTTCCAAAGTCAAAAGAACTGTTATGTAATAATAATACGAGTTATAATAATGATAGTATTGCTAAATTCACCTAAAAATGATTATATCTATATTTTTCAATATTTGCTGAAGACAGTTTGAACCATACTTTAGTTCAATGTACTTGGGCGCAAGAATTTTGGAGACACTATGCTTCGATTTTGGACAAGCCATTTTGGAGAGAAGGAATTACCCTTAGACAACATCTTTTGGAGTGGTGGTTCTAGGCTAGCTGTAAAAGGGCTAAAGGGGTTCTTCGAAGTTTTGTCCTGGGCTTTATGGAAACTGGATGTGGCATGTGTGTTTGGGGGAAGCTCGTTCAAATGAGAGCTATTTATAAGGAAATCACTCTTCAAATGCAGTTTTGGGCTATGACACATAATGAAAAACTTTGAATGTTATATATACATGTATACACACACACACACTTTTAATTAGCTGATGATTAAAAAAGGAAAACACATAGATAAGAAATTATATGCATATTTGTACTCATAATAAAATTATTAGTGCTTAAAAAACTCATAATATTTGGGTAACTCAATATTTATATTCTTTTTTAAAAGTATGAATTGAATATTATTGGAGTATTAGTTCAACTATCAAAGAGCCCCATATGGATCTAGCCAATGGATTGATGCCCAGCAACGTATCAGTCAAGTTTAGATCAATGGTTGGCCCCATGACCTGAGAACCTCGATGATCAAGCCACACCTAGCAATAAACAAATCGAAGCCAGTTTACTTGCATCGATGCCGAGTTGGATGATCACTGAGATTGGTCTCACAGGACAAATAGTAACCTTTCACTTCAAAGTCATATATCATGCAAGACATATGTAATGAAGAGTGACTTTTGTCAAATTCAAGTCCCCATCAAAGAACATTCTTTAGTATATAAACAAATGGAGAACAACCACATCGCCCACCTTGTCGGGGAATCTGGCCTATAAATACTATGCCTTCTGCTAAGAGGGGATCAAAAATTAAAGAAAAACAAACTTAATACGGAGTATGTTGTTTTCGTTTGACTTTGTCATAGCGAGAGCTGGACTAGATTGATCTTCTTCTCTTCCTTTCTCTGTAACTGCCTTCAAACTAGGATTCATGTTATATTATCATACTTAAAGACTTGTGTATATCACTCAGAATAGAGTATATAAATAAAGAATATCCTCATGTCATCTCTTTCTCTTCCATTTGCAACACCACCTCCGGTCAAATTAAGTTGTTGCATTCTTTAGGCCGTTTCATAAGTAGTTTGTTCATTGTAAAAATCCATTTATAATAGAAAAACTAAAATATTCTTGAGTATAGCTAAATTCTTATTGATTTTTTAAAACATATAGTGATTACACCCAAACTTCTAGACTCTATTGATTTTCTAAAATATACTCCCTCCGTACTGTGTATTTGTCCATTTTTTATTTTTTCAGTGAAAATTGATAAAATTTGACTTCAAATTAAATAAAATAATACTCCGTATTAGATATGGACATCAAAATAGTTTTACTAGATTTATTATATAAAATATTTTGAAAATACTATTTTATCTAATTATTATATAATATATATATATATATATATATATTTGAATTATTGTTCAAATGTTTAAAACGGTTGATTGAGAAAAATTAAAAATAGACAAATATTCAAAGACAAAGGTAGTATAGTGATTATACCCAAGCTTCTGGACTATTTTTTTAGGAAACTAAACTTCTAGACTATTGATTCTAGTTAGACCCAATCACGATGCCGGGTATCCGGCTCGTCCACAAAAGCCCGTCCGTAAAATAGCGGACTTGAACTTGACATTTTAGGATACAAGCCGGGTTTGGGCCTTATAAAGGGGGACCCAAATATTTTAGAGTCAGCTCGGACTTTATGCTCAATCCCACGGGCCGGGCCGGACCGAATAAATTAAAATATTTATTATTAGTATAATTATAATAAAATAACAATAATAAAGAACAAAACTATTTCAAAATATTATAAACTCACATACATACATACTTCTATGGAGAAAAAATAAATTATAAGTATATATAATAAAATGAATACATCTTTACTACTCCATATTTTTTACAATGTATCACACATTGAGTAAAATGAATACATCTTTGCCTGTTAAAAAAAGGGTCCAAGTTAAAAACAAGATAATAATTTTTAAAATAATTATATAAATGGTCCCAGATAATATGTAATTTTTTCATATTTAGCCTTCAATTATAACATATTCCATAAGCATTCCTCAATTTTTGAAAACTATTCCACAAAGTGTCCTTTTCACCAAAATTGATAAAATATTTTGAGTAAATTCTCAAGATGGTCCTTTTTTATAAGATTTTTTTTCCCAAAATATTCTACAATAAGCAAAAATTTCTTACGTGATCCTTATAGTTGAGATATGTTTTCTAAATAATCATTTATCAAAATGTCTATTAAAAGACAGTTACACAGAAGTATATTGATGCTCTTTATTATCTAAAATATGAATAACTTCTCAAAATAATTTTTCAAATCAAGTGGAAGGCTACTAGAAGAAGGGACTCATCCCAAGTTTGCTCATGGATTTTATTTCAAAAAATGAATGAACCTCAACCACAAGGGTCTTTCAAGCTGGCTAGAGGGTCACCTCATAATTGCATAGTCATCAAAGTTGCCAAGATATGAACTTAAATGTTACTCCTTTCACATCTTGTCTTGCCAATTTGCAACACCAACCTACAAGTTTGAAAAAAATTCTAAGATTATATGACTGGAGTTCATCAATTCTTTTTCAGTAATGTTAGGGATACATGAAATATGGTGTACCCTATTTGTACATCGTCATTGTCAATCATTCCTTCTATATTTATTTATTAAGTAAGTGTTCTCGGTACTCGTGCTTAATTACTTATTGCTTATAAGAAATTTTTAGTTTTAAAAAAATTCGTGTAGATAAAATGACTTAAATGATATATACTCCTTCATTCCCATTTTATATTGCCCGTTTTGAATTGGGCATATTTAAAGAAGAGAAAAAATGGTGATGAGTTTCTAAAAATGCCCTTACTTTTGTAGGAGGTGGCGATGAATGAGAAGATAAGACGGAGATAAGTAGCTTATTTTATGGGTAGTTTATGTATTTTACCTTTAAAAGTTAAATGCAACTTATCTTGGGACGGACAAAAAGGGAAAAACATGCAATTTAAAATGAGACAAAGGGAGTAAGTCGTTTTGGAATAGTCATAATGGATAAGAGAAAGTTTGTAGATAATCTGGTCAAAAAAAGAGAAAAAACTGTTTTAAAAATAAGTAGGTAAGACCTACTTATTTTTCTGACTTATAAGTAGCTTATAAGTCAGTTTATAAGCACACAGAACTACGTCATCTACTGACTTAAAAGTTAAAATCTGCTTATAAACAGTATTACCAATTTATAAACACAGAGAAACACCAATTAATTTTTTATCAATATTTAAATTATGTGGTAGAGATGCTTCGAGGTATATTTAGGGTACATTTTTTGATGTACCCTTAGGACTTCTATTTTTTGAGGTGATATGTTATAAAAAAGAATTCATTATTGTCTTTTTTTGAGATGATATGTTATAAATTTAGATATATACTATTAATTTATATTAATTATATACAAATAATTTTTTAAGTCGTTGTTAGAAAAAACTGAAAAAAATTATATTTATATATACAAATACCTTGTCACACTTTTCACTCCAACCTTCCCAAAAATGTCTCTAGACATTGAAGTGATTGAACAATACTCGGTATAACACATGTTTGTAGGATCCTAATTCTAAATTCCAATCCTACTTGTATACTCTTGTAACCCTATTAATGAGTCTAGATAATAATTATTAGTCCACAAGTGTTTTTCCTATGGTCTTTCGCTAATTCATTTCTTTTTGTATTTTAGTTTTGTTCAAAAACTTAGTTCACTCGTAATGTGTTGTTTTTACACCATTACACCATCAACAAAAACAAAAGTTTTACAAAACTAAAAGGGGAGGTGTTTGGCAAACAATATATTACTCGGTATTATGTTGTTTTGACAATTTGACCAGAAACCACATTTATGAATGGTCAAAATGTTAATTAAGGTATATAGTAAATGAACATTTCGAGTTGAACAATATTTTTGAACAACAAGTTACTTGGAAATGCCTTCTCCCGGCCCGGCCCGGACGGATAGTAGACTAGAAACAACATTTCAACTAAACTTCAACCTGAATGGTTTTTAGTTTTTACGTCGCACACTATGGTTATCCGGAGTCGAATCCGGTCACAACTTTTTACACCTCTATTGATCACTTAAGTTACAGCACGAGTTTGTTATTCCATAAACAGAGTATATAAAATTGTGGGGGGGGGAGAAAGAGCAGTTTGACACAGAGGCTCAGGAAACAACAATTTTTTGTTTTGTTTTACAGCATTTCAAGAAATGCATCCAAAGCTACCACTCCTAGTAACATGTAATTACATAATTAGCAAATGCTTTTATTAACACTACAAATTTCCTGTCATGACCCCAACTAGTTGGGATTAAAGTGAAGAAGAAGAAGAAGAAGAAGAAGAGACTAAATCTCATAAATAACATATTGTTACAAGAACCATAAGCATTTGATCTAGAAAAGAACAACCAGGAGAAGCTCGGGTAAAACGAAAACTCAGCAAGACAATTTATACTATGAACAGTTGTCATTATCATTAAGATAAAGAGCATTCGCCAGACTTTCGGATTACATAAGTTTATTTCCATGATCACAGAAAGAAAGGGAAAGAATTGTGAAGAACTAACAAAATCAAAGAAAAACTAGCATTACCTTATATCCTTTTCCTCAACACTTTGATCAAAATTCCAAATCCACAAATACAAACATATATGTATATTCTATTGATCATCAGGAACATTTAAGAATTCAAGAACCATTCTTTACCTGTCCATATATGTATATTCTATTGATCATCAGGAACTTTGTATAAATCTGGTGTGATTTCCGACAGCCATAATCCGGGAAAGAGGGTCTGTTAAGAAAAAAAAGATCAAACTGTAAAATTTAAAAAATTTGTTTCAAGAATCAATCTGGGTAGTGACGACAAGTGGAGAATGAACTTACATCCAAATTCTTCTGGACCAATTTGGATCGTTTCTTGGGGCGGCGAGCGGGTCTGTGACCAACTATAGCCATGAAATCCTCTTCGATCTCTTGACGGGAGAGGGGAACAGAGAGCTTCCCTCTCTTCTGCCCTACTGCGGGTTGCCCGTTCAACACTATTGGAGATGCGGGTTCGCCTCTCGATGGGGAAGCGTTTAAGTTCCTGGTCGATCCGGCGGTTGTCCGGCGAGTCCTCAAGCTCCGGGGCTTATTCGGGTCAGCGGCGGCGGATTCAGGCGGAGACAGTTTTTGTTCCCCTCCTCCATCCACGGCCGGCCGATGGTGAAGCTCTTCTTTCAACCCCTCCCGCAAAATCGCGTCTTTTATCTGATCCGCTGCCGTCTGGAGATCGAACATTAACTTCTCCCTCACAGAGGCGATCCCGCCGTCGGCGTAGGACTCGAATTTACGGCTACTCCCGGCCGCCTCCCTCTTCAGCCTTTCGTTTGACCTCGCGGCGGACGGAGCAACCCGGCCCAACAAGGGATGGGGCGCCGACAACCCATTAGACCGCCGGTGTAAGGCGGCGATTTCTCCGTTTGAATCAAGCTTGACGCATCTCAAGAACTTCCGGCTCCCCCACTTCAATTCACATGGAAGCGTGAAATTGTGCAGCGGCCTTGATCTTTCCGGGCCCATCGCCATCAACGCGGCCACAAAGTATCTCTATCTCTGGCTATAAGCTCTTTCTTCTATCTCTCTATCGCGGAGAGAAGAACATAGAAAATTAAGGGTTTCCTGATTTTTCTTCGCTTTTTTTTTTTTGTTTTTTAAAATTTTCTCCTAATTGGATTTGTGAGACTTGTGAAATCGCCGGGAACGAAGTTTTTATAGAAGAGACGCAGGGGGCGGTTTTAACGTTCGGCTTTGGACAACCAATGATGCTAATGTGCGCCGTCGGGCGTCTTCATGGAAATTTTATTTTTTGTTGATGATCTTCCTATATACACTGGTAAGAGGGCTTTAGGAACAGTGTTCCCGCCCATTTCATTTGCTACAGTACTCGGAAAATTTGGACCGCACAATCCAGTAAAAAATCTGGCGAAGCTTCCCTCATACTCATTTCATTTTAGTGTACGGATTCTCAATGCACATTGGATATTGGACTCTGTATTTTAGATGTAGAGAGAGAGAGCGTGTGGAGAATCCCGCCGGATCAGCAGAGATTTGATCTCCCGGAGGCAACTTGAAGACAGTCGGACCCTTGCCTACTACAACATCTAAAAAGGTGAACATTTAATCTAGGGTTTTGTTCTTGATGCTTTTTTGGATTCAATCAGTGTGGAATTTAATCTTTGTTGGTGCTTGATTTAGGATTCAAACAAAGTCTACTCTGCATCTGCTGTTGAGGCTCCGTGGTGGAATCTCTCTAGGTAACTCCATGTTTTGGCAAACTCAAATGGGGCAGCCGCCCCCTCCGTAGGCCAAGCTGATAAAATTAGCTCCGATTCATCCGGCCACACATTCGTCCTTTCGTTTTTCTTTTTTCGTTGACTTTAGCCGCCGGTCATTCCATCCGTAAGAATCAATCGTCTCTGACTTTCTTCCTCCATATCCAATTCATTATCCATCTATCTATCTATCTATCTATCGCGTATTTCATTTTCCACCCTCATTTTCTTCTTCGAGTTTTTGTCTTCTATTAGGTATATGGTCATATTTTAGAAAATGATGTCTGTGATTTTTCTCAATTTTTTCCTACAGCCTTTGTCATTTTGTGAGTTTTTTTTTCAAAAAATTATAATTGGAAAATTATTGTTCTCATATTAAAGTGGACTTTTAGATTTTTGATATTACTGACTAAATTAGATTTTAATACAGAGTATTATTGACTAAATTTAGAATTACATTTACGAATTTCTTCATTTATTATTGACTAAATTTAGAATTACATTTTCGAGTTAGATTTTAATATTATTGACTAAATTTAGAATTACATTTTTTTCACCTCAATGTTTAGGTGAAATGAACTTTTATTCAAAGATTAATGTGAGAAAGTGCACATTTTTTGGGGTTTAGTTTATTGGGTGATTCACAAGATGTCTTCTCGCTTATATTCTTTGGGTGGAAAACAATAAAACATTACAAAAAAGGCGTGAAGGTGTGTAATTTCATTGACAATTTATTTATTCTGATAACTGATTTAAATTCTTCATTAGGAAAATGTTTGTGTTTCTTTATAGTTCAATTTTGCATATTGATTACAAGAGTTTTGTAGTTTGCATATGGAATTCATTTGACTATTGAAGAGACACAACTACAAGTTGGATTTTTTTAAATGTTTGATTGTCTTTTAGATTTTTATTACTACATGTCTCTTCTATGACATGTTTCATTCATTAAATGTTCAGATTTTTATTACTACATATGTCTTTTAGATTTTTATTACGACATAGAAGGTATGTTTGTGGATGTGTTCAATTTTCTTAAAAAAGTTGTTTACCTTTTAGAAGATGTCTTTTTTTTAGAAAAAATGTTTTTTAACAAGTTTTTTTTGCTTTTGATCATTTATGTCAACATGATTGAGGTGGATGGCTTTGACTCTCATAGTTTTTGATAAAAAAAAAATTTTGATATATCACGAAAGATTTTAAGGTTACTTTTTTTCATTTCAATATTTTCTTTGGTTTTAAGTTTAAATTATATGGTTTTATATTACTTCAATTGCAGGCTTCAGAGCTTTGAACCATGAGAGGAAGTAATCAAGATGTCATTGATGCACATTTTGCTGACAAAACGTAATATGACGGTTAAGTGAATAATACACATGTTTACCTTTACATGTCTAATGCACGGACTTGCTAATCCAAATTTCACTGCTTCATATTCTAACAACTTGGCTTAGAGAATAATGTGCAATAATAATTTTAGTATTTAGTTCAATATAACTTCCATATTCTGATATGAGTTTTTGTTCACTTAATTAGTTATTTTCTCTGCAGACCCATTCTATTTCAACTCTGCCATGTTCGTAAGTGTATTGTGTAAGAGCTCAGTATGTTTTTCATTTTATTATAAAATATAATTTCATCATATTTATATACTGAGCATATTCATATGAAAGAGGTCAATTTTAATACACTGAGTGTTTTTTGAAGCCCGTGCTAATGATAATATGTTTATGAACATGATCTTCATGATCTTTATGTTGTGTGTTTATTCCTATTTGCAGGCTAACATAGAAAACCAAGTTCTTGATTTATATACAATTGTTCATTCTGTTAACTTTATATGGTCCACCGTAGCAAAATGGGGACAGGAAAAGAAGATGGGCCATGACAAACCAGGTAACATTTTTTATTCGGTGTTCGATTGAATAAATTAAAGATTTTTTGAGGGTTTTCTATAAGTAATCCAGTGTCTTGGAAGCATGATACCCTGAAAGTATGTTTAGAATTTTAAATTGGAAGCATGATTGAATTCTTTGTTCTTTTTTCTTAATTTTTTTCAATATTTAAAGCTAAAGCTTTTGTTTATTGTATTGTCAACTTCAAACAATGTGGATGATATGGTAATTGTGTTCCCTTTGATTCATAAATGGATTTAGCAAATATAAGTATATTTGTTTAAAAAAGGCAACATTTAAGTTTCATCATCTTCACCTTCAATGTTGCTCAAGTTTCAGTGAGTATTCCATGAACGTTGGCTTCTTTTAAGTTTCTAATTTTGATAGTTTTTCTTTAAGTAATGCAATGCATTTATGTTCCAGATTATAATTAAAGATTTGCGAGTTTTCACTATAAATGAAAGTCTATTCATAGAGTTGTTCTTTAATGATGATCATTTTAAGCGAAACTGAAATTTTTGAGTGTTCTGTAGATTAGAAAAGCATGTCAATGTCAAGTAATGAGAAAGGTATGTTTACTCAACTCTAATGGATTAATTTTTAAGTAAACACTCATTTTTTCATTAGTTCATTTTATTATTCGTAGGACATAAATGGCCATAACCATCTCATGATTCCTTCATTGTATTCGTTTTAAGTTATTACAATGTTGTTAACCTTTGGTAAAACGATACTAGAAAGGTATCTTTTTTAGTGACTCAATGAAGGTGGAATAACTTAAATCTTTTTTCAGAATCAAGTAATGACAAAGGTATGTTTACTCAATTCTAATGGATTGGGTTTTTTTAGTAAACACTCATTATCTTCGTTAGTTCATTTTATTATTCGTAGTAGTGAGATTAATACTCCATGAAAAGCTCAAAATGTGGCTTTGTTGTTAAATGCTCCATGAAAAGCTTTTCCAACCAACTTTTTAAACACTACTTTGAAGAAAACATGGTCTTAATTGTTTAGTATTTCATGAAATAGAGTAGAAAAAAGGTAGGGGTTGAAGTCATTATTTTGTTGGAGTTGGTAGAAAATATCAATCTAACCCCCTTTTAAATACATACTCATTTGTAATATATTTTTCCAAGGTAGAGAGGGATGAATTGAGTGACACGGTCGCTGTAGTATGAGATTATTACAACACGACCTTTAAAGGTGTTATAGCTATTTATTTTTAAGTTGCTTTGAGAATTCATGTGATCCTCATTCTCTTAACTCAATTTATTAATAGTCTTCATGTCTTTCTTTATCAAAATAGTAGAATGCTCCTACTGTCATATAAATTTGGAGCTTTTTTTTACCAATTGATAAAAAATGGGGATTTCTTAAAACTGCAGTTATGCAAATGAATTGTTAATTTGTTTGTGTAAGTTATTTTTGAGAGAAAACAATCTAGAGATGTTCTTGGTTGTCTGANTTGGCCAAATTTACTTTACTCAAAATAACTCTCTTGCTCTTTGTTTGTTGTAGTGAATGGAAGAGAGCATATTTCAATTAAGACGATGATGGTTGATCGTGGGGATGAGTTCCTTTTTTAAATTATTAGTATGAATCTTACATTCAAATGGTTAGCGCAACTTTCTATAGCTTTACTTTCATTTAATTTTGGAGCAAACGTGTTTCAAATGCCACAGCCTATTACATGTATTTTTTACTGACTGAAATTAATGTCATTTTTAAAAATTGTTTGAGAAGATAGGTTCTACACATTTGGCTATTTTTTTCATTTTTTTTCAGTTTGAATTTTTATAGTTACATTAATAAAATGAGTTACCGGGGGTCTTTAAGAGAATAGAAACCATCAATTTTTAGAATAGAGTACCGTAGGTGCTCCAATTGAGGCTCATGTCATAGAATGACATGAAAGACTAATGTTACCCGAACCTCTCAAAAGATTTGTCATTGCATTTATAATCATGTTCACTTTATGTACTATCTTAAAAGTTGTTTAATAAAAGTTTGAAGAAATTTTTATACATTGAATCTATATTATTGATATTTTGCATCAAGAATATACTTTTGTGCATCTCTATATCTAATGAATTATTTTGTATGATATGTCCTTCATTTATATTTCTTTTGCAATGCACAACACTTAGTAATTATTATTTTTATTTCAATAAATTTTTTATACATGGTAATAATACTTTTACATAAATTTGTAACTTTATTTTTTAGCCGTGCAACGCACGGGTACGAGTCTAGTTTATTTAAAACAAGAGTGAGTCCACATTTAAAATATACGAAGTATTTGGATATTTCTTTTTTGTAAAACCCAATACTAATGTTTAGACGTCCAAACAATGATGTGGACCTTAGGTGCAAGAAAAAATTTACCTTAAAATAATTCTATATAAAAGAGATTAAACATGGTTTTAATCACTATAAAATTCTCTCTGTCCCAAAAATTTCATCCATTCTTTTTCTTATCTCACAAATTTCTTTCTTTTTTATTAAAAGATCATTTTTATTCATATTAGTTCTTAACTTAATTATCATATCATATCTTTTTATTAATAATCTATCTATCGCATCTTACTTTTATTCATCACATCAAAAATATTTTTGAGAAGTCAACGCAAAAATATCTCTCACTTAAATTTTATAAAATCAAAATGGGAACATCTTTATGAGACGGAAGAAGTAGAAGTTTTTCATTTTTCATATAAGTAATTTTTTTGTTAAGTCATTCTTGCAATGTTTTAATTTGAAAATAGTCTTTAAATATAGTTTGAACTTCTAATATATTGAAATACCATATTTATTTCATACTTAACATTATAATTTTACATTTTAATTACCCCACACATAATTCTTATGTCATAGATTGCGTTCTTTATCATATTACATCACTAATTTCTATATTATGTTATACTATTTCCCAAAATATTAGGAAGACAATGAGAAGAAGCCCGCGAGGACAACACCGTACTCGACAAAAGGAACGAGAACCCCATTACGAATGATTGTCGTGCTAGCTTCAGCATGTCGAGGGACGGGTTCAGTGAATGATAGCGTACCCATAAGATTAGGATTATGCTATGTGTACCCCAAGGTATGTACCTCAATTTGTACCCCGCAGTTTTGCACCAACACTTTGTGTTTGTGTAAAACGAATTTTTGTTAAACGCACCAACATTTGTGTCCGTGTGAATTTTTATTAACGCACCAACACTTGTGTCGGTGTAAACCATCGAAATGTTTGTGCAAACCTGTGGTGTACAAATGAGGTATATTTTTTGGTGTAAGTGTAGCATGGTCCATAAGATTATATACGCTAACAACAACAGCTTTCCGACAAAAGAATGTCAATCATGATCTACTATAACAACAACAACAACCCAGTTAAATCCCACAAAAGTAGGGTCTGGGGAGGGTGTGTGTACGCAGACCTTGCCCCTACTCGAAAGTAGAGAGGCTGTTTCCAACGAGACCCCCGGCTCAACGTCGAAAGTTGCATTGCTTAACTAACTGCTACTTCATTAATTAAAGAAGCACAGACAGTTTAGAGATCCATTTTGATTTATTCCATCACATCCCAAAGCCAAAAATGGTGAAATTTTGGCTCCATCCGAGATGATGGAAATACAATCTACTATAGTTGTAATCAATGACATGGGGTAGTATACATACCCCTACACCTCCACTCGTAAAGGATTCGAATCTAAGAGAATTATATTTATATAACGCACTCTCTCGCTTTTTATTGTATTCTTACTCACTCTCTTTGCTTACTCACCTAAACCCGACTCTTCGGTTGGCTTACTCGCTGGTTTTTGACCATCAACAAGACTAAGATGTTTATTACTCTGGACGAAATTAATATGTTAGCAAATTTGAAGGATAAATTATATTTTAGAACTATTTTTAAAATAAAATTTTATAAGGATGACTTATAAAATTTTTCGTGAAATTGTACCGTTTACCCCTGAACATTAAAAAGTGCACCAAATACTCTCAAATTCTTCAAAATTGCACAATTTACCTTTGAACATTAAAAAATGTACCAAATAGCCTTGAATCTTTGAAAATTGCACGATTTGCCGCTAAATATTTAAATAAAGACGATAATTTTAAGGAATGGTACTTTGGAAAATTTAGAATGACTAAATGAATCATTCTCGCAATTCTCATGTGTGAAAGCAACACACTCCTTCTCTAGCATTTTAGGACAATGATGCAACATTTTAAATTGTTCGGGGATAAATCATGCAATTTTTGAATAGTTTAAGCGTAAAAGATGGATTTTTTAATACGGAGTATTCAAAGATAAACCGTGTAGTTTTCGTAGAATTCAGGGATTAATGGTGTACATTCTCTATTTATTTGAGACACAACCAATTTAGATGACACACACTATTTTAGTGTACAAGTGGTACTCCTTATATATCAAATTTATATTAATGGAAATTAGAGAGTATTTGAGAGTGATTAACTTGTAAATAAAATGATTTTTACCAAAGTTGAAAACAAAAACATCTACTCCAATAATTATTTTTCGAAATGGTGTTCTATGTATAAAATAGTGGTGAATAAAAGTAAAAGCTGAAATAACAAATACAGTAAAACTACTTCCAATCAAAGCAAAAACTAAATTCTTAAAAGCAGTGCACTACCAAACACCTTCTTAGTACCGAGTATTACATAATAATACTCATGTTCAAAAATGAGTCGTGTTTGTAGATTGGAAAAAATACAAAATTGATATGAAATATTGATACAAAAATAATTTTATTAGATTTACTCTAATTTCAAAATACTATTTCAAGTATTTAATATTATATATATATAATTTATATTTAGTTATATGTCAAAAATTAAACACAATTAATTATAAAAATTAAAAAAAGAACAAATACTCAAGAAGGAATGTAATACTTCCTCCGTCCATAATTTATCTTTTCATTTTCCTTATTTCCTTATTTGTCCGTTCATAAATTATTTTTCTATTTCTTTTTTTGGCAAATGTTTTTATTCTAAACCAAATTACTACTCTCACTTTTATTAGACTTTATACATTAATTATTATCTATATTTATGTTTTATTTTACTTTTTGTAATGTCCCAGGACAAATATGAAAAGTCAAATATTTTTTACAATTTTTAATATGTGTATAAAATCAAAACAAAAAGATACTCCCTCCGTCCTATATCTTTCTTCTCGTTGCGCATAGGGAGAAAGACCAAAGTAGGACTAAAACATTGAAGATATACCAAAATAGGACTTCCATGTTTTTATTCCTGAAATAGGACTTACATTACCAAACATGGTCATATACATTACCAAAAAAGTATAGTAATTTGCACATGTACACTGCCACATTATCACAATGCAATGTCACATTACCACGATGCAAAGTCCTATTCCGGAAAAAAAAACATGAAAGTCCTATTTTGGTACTTTTCTCTATGTTTTAGTCCTATTTAGGATGATTTCTATTGCGCAAAACGAAGAAAAATTCCAAGTTTTTTCAATCTATTTTATTTAAATATTGGTATAGAAATAAAAAATAAAACATACATATTTAGAAATTACATCAAAAGTTCAACAAAACAAGTGGTGACAAGAATATTTTATTTTATCATATATGCCATGAAAAAACACAAATAAATATAAATTCCCGTGAAGTTGGAATAGTGGTCTGGGAAGAAAGTTTTAGGATAGAAAGAATAATTTTTAGACGGAAGAATACTACCCGTATATTTTTGTGTACATCTTTGTTTCAGATTTGGGACGATGGTAATGCATATAACTTCATCAATCATAAAAATGGTACTGTTGGAACAAGCACAACCATTAGAATAATCAGAAATAAATAAACTTTGGCCTGCATTATGAATTGAACAAGAATTTTATTTGATAGACATCACTTTTCACGTTAAAATAAATTTCACAAACAACACCGGAATATTCATGAAACAATTTTAACATAAGCACCCAAATGAAAATGTACCCAAAAAAATTCAATGAAAAAAAAAATCAAGATTTCCAACTTGTTACACCGCCGGTGACCCGCCGCCGGAGAAACACCATTGTTCTTCTCTCCGAGTTTCGGATTTGCAGGAAGATCAGATCTCTACAATGGCGACGAGTATTGGAAGAAGACAAAACCCTTTTGCCCTCTACCGATCATCACGAACTTTGTACATGTCAGCACTAATTTCTGTCAACCACAACCCAGGAAATAGGCTCTGCAATTTAATCCAGAAAGAAGAAGAAGAAGATTAACAGTTAATTTCAAGAATAAAAATCAATTCCAGTATTGAATCGCGTAAATGTTGATGAAAAAAAGGCTTACATCCAGATTTTTCTGAATAATCTTGGATCGTTTCTTGGGCCGGCGTGCCGGTTTGTGGCCAGTTATGGCCGCCAAATCTTCCTCGATCTGTTGACGAGTGAGTGCGATGGAGAATTTTGCCCTCTCCGGTTTTTCCCCGCGGGCGAAAACTCCGGCGGCGGCGGAGATACTTGGGACGATTGGAGATATGGTTTCGGTCATCGAATCCGGGTTCGGTTTACCGGAATCGGCGGCGAACCCTTTCGGGTGCCTAATCCGTGACCGGCGAGTCCGCAAGTTCCGCGGCCTGGCGATTTCAGATGGTCCCGCCGGCGGAATAGTGGTCGGGGAAGTCGTCGGAGCCGGAGGCCGTTCCTCGCCCGCTCCCGCCGTCGGCTTTGGCTCTTCATCTCTCAGACCCATCCTGATAATTTCCTCTTTCATCTTCGCCGTCGCTGCTTGGAGATCAAGCAACAGCTTCTTTCTAACGGCGGCGATCCCGTCTTCTCCCTCCGATCGGACTTCGTGGCCACGCTCCGCTTGCCCATAATGTAAAGCTCCGATGCCCAGACCCCGCTCGTCCGATCCGAGACTCCACGGCGAAGCAGCCTCCGTCCTCCGCCTCCCGACCGACTTCTCCGGCAACGACCCATTAGACCTCCGGTGAACGGCGGCAATTTCGCCGTTCGAGAACTTTCGCTTTCCCCACTCCAACCCACGCGGAAGGGTAAAATTGTGCAGCGGCGGCGGCGGCGGCGGCATCGATCTTTGCCTCCCCATTGCCATTGACTCAAAATCTGGCCTCCTCCTCTACAACCAGCCAAAGTCTCTGGTTAAATTTCTCTGTTTCCTCCGTTAAACGTTTGGCAGCTTTCCACGTTTCGCCGTGAGTTCGCCGGGAACCTTCAGGTTTATAGAGGGAGGCGGTTTAAGCGTTTCTAAAATGCGCCGTGCTGTGTGGGTTCATGGCCTCATGGCTCAATAGCTCATGACTCATGAGGGCTTTCCTCAAATAATCAAAATAAGAATCTTTTATTGTATCTCTCAAAAAGGTCTTGATTTGTTTGTGCAAAAAGAAAAGTTTTTTATTTGTTCACAAATTTTTATTTAAATTATGTTTTATTTAATTTATAAGAGAACTAGCGTAAATTTTAAAATAAATTTACTCTATATATATTCTATTTAAAATATTATGGGCCACGTTGGAATTTACATTTTCGATTAATCTTAGTGTTTTAGATAAAATTTTAATAGTATAAATCAATTTAAAAAAACTGGCCGTATATAACTTTTTCAAAATACAGATGTTAAGAACAATGCTATTTCTCAAACAAGTCTTATATTAACAAGTTAAAAAATAAAAGTTGATATAACCGAATTTAATAGTATCAGGAGAAGAGTATTATCTTCCTTGACAATATAGGAGTAGTTCTTGTTTAAAAAAACTCCATTTGAAAATAACTTTATAATTTAACTTAATGAATTTTTTAAAAAAAGTGTTGAAAAAATAAAAATAACAAGACTTTCAAAAGGTGAGAGAGAGATTGCAATTCAAATACTCCCTTCATCCCAAAAAAAGAACTACACTCATACACTCTTCACTATCCAAAATTTAAAAAAACTTTTGTTTACTTGTACGTTTTGATTGATTGTGTGATAAAAAAAATTCTCACCACATCTTGTTTTAAAATATTTTTGATATAATTTTAAATATATAAGTTTCATTATTAATTTATATACTACTCCGTAACTTTTAAATAAAATAGATTAAAAAATTTAAAATTTCACTTTGTTTTGCGTATAATGTTAAACATTTTGGTGCAAAAAGATTATTACATTCATTGCTATAAAAAAAGATAAATTATGAGTTGGGTCATATTAAACCCAAATGATAAGACTGATTCGTCTGATCTAATTGAAATGCATTTGATATGATATGATTCTAATTAAATTTAAACATATTTCTAAACTGATTTAATGGTGTAAATGCTTGCAAGGCCCAACTTCTTCTTTTGGGCTGATAATGAGATTGAGAGATAAGTGGTAAGAGTTAGAGCGTGGAGTATGAATTTGGCTATTCAGATTATTTGAATATCGAGTTACACTCGGGGGGGGGGTCCTAACCTGATTATAATGAGACAATTTGTGTCGGGATTCAGCCTAATATTCATGCTTTCTCTCTAGGATGCGATCCCCTCCACTATTCCCTTTGTTGCCCATTTATAGGGAGAGCAACAATGGGCAAAATAAGCAAGAAAATATGACAGATGAGGGTTGACATACCCACCACCAGAGAACGTGCGTGTAAGACGTCGTCTCCGCATTAAATGTGTTCTACGGACGTGAA